CTTTAAATAATTGAAAGGACATCGCTTTATTCAAAAACGTATAGTGCTTTGTATGCACACACACACACACACACACACACACACACACACAAGCGCAATTAGAATAAGATGTGATGAATTTTGTCCTGCCGCCTTTACCTTGGGGTGTCCCTAATCAGGGATGATTGCTTAATTTTTGCGTGTTATTGTTTTCTGTTTGTGTCTAAGACTTCCTGTGTGTGCATGCTTAGGTACTTTTGTGTACATGCAGTTTTGCCTTAGAGGTATGCAAGGTAGCAGTTGCAGCAGATCCAAGAACGGGTTCTAAAGTCTTATCATAATTACAGTAGAAGGAACAAATGGATGAGTTACACGTGTAAGAAGGGTGGAAAATTAATAACAAAAATGTCATTTTTCATGGCACACATAAACCTGCCTTAAGCAAATTTTTTGACACGTATATGCAAAAAAAAAAGTGCACACTGTATCTTTTGGCTATTATGCTTCTCTTTTTTTATATTAACACTTTGGATCACTTTGATTATAGGTTTTGTGGAAATAATATTATTTTTTACTATAATCGGTTTAATGTCCAATTTGATAAATTGGTCAGTTTGTTTCAGTGCAGCAACTTTCTGCTCCAAGTCTGCCATCTAGTGTTCAATCACGCAAATAGCTTTACTGTTTATGTCCCATGAATAAGAATTTTATTATGTGTAAAATGATCTTGGCTTTACTGTTTTGTCATTTTGAGCATACAGAGATTTGCATAAATAATATCAGTAGTAAAGATGTATTTTAATATTATTTATTTTAAATATTATTAAATACTAGATAATTATGTGTTACTGCTAAGATATAATTTTGCTTTGTCTTTGATTTTATTTATTTCTAATAAAATAGAAAAAGGCAAAAAATAAATAAATAGCACTGAGGCCCAGTCTGATCGTGCACACATGAACATTTCTCTGATTGTTCTCTTCACATCGAGGGTTCTGTTGTACAAACATTCGTGTTTATTATCTCTGTCCAGGAGTGAAGGAAGCCTTTTCTGATTTCACACAGGAACAGACCCTGAGCCAAACTAGCCACAACTAAAACAGCTGCCCTCGGTCTCTCGCCAACTCCTGGCAGCCATGTTTTCACATTGCTAGATAACAACTAAAGGGGAGATGACGCAGGGGGAAAAAGACTGAGTTTGATAAACGACAGAATCACAAGCGAGGCTGTGTGAGACGAAGAGGGGGTGGAGGAGAGGAGAAAGAACTGTTGAACGGATGTCGTATGGTTAGGAGGTGTCAGAGGGAGGGGAAGAGATGAGTGGAAGATACACTACGAGGTCATTTTGGTGTTTATCCGCCCACCTTAGCGGTGTGGGTCAGGGAGGCGTCCTCAGGGCAGAGAGCATTGTTTCAGGATGTTGCTTGCATATGGAAAGTGCTCCAAATTTGTCATCTAGGACATTTTTTAAAGGACTGCAGCCACACTGCCAAAGCACATTTCAAACTGAACCTACTTTAGCAGGTTTTATCTGCTGAGCAATTTATCTGGCTTAGCCTGCCACTCACCTCTGGTTCAGAAACAGCCCTGTGCAAGACAAGTCAGGTCCAATACGCCAGACGTGTTTTGTTGTACAGTAAATGCCATTTAGGCCTCCTGAGGCAAGCGTCGCTTAAAAGGCAGCGTTGTGATGTTGTGCACAAAACGAACAGTTAAATCTCTAAGCCTTGTTGGGTGGGCTGTGGAACGTAAGCAGCAGCTGAGCCACCACCTCCAGGGCCTGCATTAACTCATAAAGATCACTGTCTCTTCCAGGCTCACTGAGCCAATGCTGAGGTTGCATGTGTGTGCGTGCGTGCATGCGTTTGTGTGTGTGTGTGTGTACGATTCCGAGAACGTCTGATTGGAGAGGATGATTAATTCTAATTTTAGCGCATATTTTATCTGTGAAAGCAGTGAGATTGCTTCATTTCACAGTTTGTTTTAAGCGTGTTTTGCTCCGCGTGTCATTCTCTCCCACTCCTGTAATTACAGTCATTGGTATCAGATGAAACCCCACACAGAGCTGATCTCTCCTTGTGCCCTTTGTATAAGCAACATCTCACTCTTAGATTAATAGAGGATTGGGGGGGAGAGTTCACACAAATGGAAGAGTGTTATAGGGTCAAGTTACCTCTATGTGTCTCTTTGTTACTTTCACTTTTTTGCCCTAAAAGTGTGTTTACCCCTTGTAGCTGCTCCTGTGTTTTCCTTTTATACTAAATTGTTGTCTTTAGCCACTTTTTTGCTGCAAGAAAACATGTTTTATGAAATAAATGCATGAACAACAAATGCTTAAGGAGTGGCAGGATACTATTCATCTGATCTATTGGCTGCATGTGACACTATACATCCATTTAGGGTGGCAAGTCTTTATCAGTGCTTTGCATGAGGCTGTTTGTTGCCTGAAAGTAGATGTAGGTGGAGACAAAATCTCATCATTATTAAGGATGATCTTGCATTCCTCAGGCCCTATTTCTCTCTCACAGGGACACGTGGAAAAACACTCCCATTATAGCCTGGACACATTCTCCAATGAGCACAAATTCACACACTAAAAAGACAGCCACATGCACACAGATGTCGACAGGCTACTATATTTATTCCAACGCACCAATAAATCTATCTGCTCCCTTGTCTATTTTCTCTGGCTTTGCCCGTGCAACACTGAAGGTCTGCATGGGAGAGAGGAAGAGCCAGGAGGAGCTAAGTGGCCCCACTACCTTTCCATGCCCTAAGTGCCACCTCAGGTCCAAGTGCAACACACCATCGTGCAATGAATTCCTGGAAAATATGAAGTTGTGTCAACTTGTGCAGCTAAAACGAATGCAGGCCTGTTGCCCCTACCTCATTCACTCACCCATCTACTCCATTCACTCATCTTTAATTTCTGCAGCATGAAACAAAAAATAAAGAATAAATAAAAATGCTTCCGACCATGATGCAGGTACGACACAGGTGTAGTTTGGTCACAGTCATCAGAATGGAAAATAGAAATAAAAACATGCAGTGGCAGGTAATTTTTTTATTCTCTATGGGGGTTTTTCTGTAGAGATAAAACATAAAATATGCTTAGATTTTAAAATATTTAAAGATAACAATAACTGCATTAGACAGGAGGAAACAATTACTGAAACTGGTAATTTATTAGCTTTTGTGTTAAAGATCCAGTGTGTCTTCTTTGTGTGCCATTTGAGAAGAACGCTTTCGTTTTATTCCCAATTTTACTCCAGTTTTATCCAAAAACGTCTCTCCTTGCCTAATTTTTCTACATTAATTTTTTATAGCATTAAAATGAGAGAATCCTCCAAAAACCTGCATTTTCTTTAATCCTGATTCAATCAAACAGTATTTGGTGTCTTTGTGTTTCTTCATGACCCACTTACTGTTGATTCAATTCTCACACAAACTACAAAAAAGCTTATTTCTCGTCATTTATTTTCTTTTGATGCAAATTTTTGGAATTTGTTGTGAAGAGTAGAAATCAGTTCCATGCATGATGCTTACCCACCACCACCACGTATTCAAACGAGATATAGATTGTTTGAAGGCAAGCAAGATGTTTTTTATACGTGCATGTAACATTCCAAGACAATATCCAGATGCAATCTCTTGTTTGCAAATTGCAATTATATGGAAAAGTAAGAGATAAACGGGAAAAATATGGGACAAACTGCATTTGAATACTTAAAAAAAAGATTTAAACTGAATCAATGTTGTACTTGGAAAAATAACTCAAAGGGCCTAAATTTACAAAACAATACTGTTTTTTTTTTCATATCAAGAGGAGCCAGTTGAGGTGGCTCAGGCATCTGGTTAGGATGCCTTCCTGGTGAGGTTTTCCGGGCATGTCCAACCAGGAGTTTGGTTAATAAAGTTTCGACTAGTGTTAAGAGATGACTTAATAGCTTTGTCATGGAAGGGGCCATCGGCTTGAACACTTTTGCTAACCATTTAAACATTCTCCCTCTCCTGATAATAACATTTTACTTTATTTGACGTTGGATGTGCTACTACTAGTTTACCCATTGAATTATAAATTTACTAGGAGAAATACAATAAAGTTTATCTCTCACCAATAGAATAGTTATTAAGAAATCACAATATAACCAAAGAAACATTACTTGGTATATATGTTGGGTGTGTGTGTGTGTGTGTGTGTGTGTGTGTGTGTGTGTGTGTGTGTGTGTGTGTGTGTGTGTGCTCTGTCTTCTCGATCCCCAGTGACTCGTGGAGGATGGCTGCTTATACTGAGCCAGGATCCTCTGGAGGTTTCTTCCTGTTAAAAGGGAGTTTTCCTCTCCACTGTCGCTAAATGCTTGCTTAGTATGAGGATTGCTGTAAAGTCACTGACACTAGTCAGTGACTTGATGCAATTTGCTGGATTCCTTATATAGGAAACTTTTTTCTGATTGGTTTAATGAACTGACCTGGATTGGAATGTTTACTATGTGAAGTGCCTTGAGAAGACTCTTGTCGTGATTTGGCGCTATATAAATAAAGTTGAATTGAATTGAAAATTGAACTTTGTGGCAAACCAACAATAAAATGACCAAATTAGAAAATCTTCTCTGTTCACTCAGAGACAAAATACAGTCGTGTCCTTTTACTACCAAACATCAGAAACTAAATTACTGTCAATTAAAGATTATAGAGATAATTAGCATGCATGCACAAAGTTGTGCATATGTTTTGCACATGAAAACTCACACACGTGTTTGTCTTGTGATACTTGTGAGGACCATTCACTGACCTACTTTCATGTTTGTTACTACATTATGCCTAACCCTAACCAATCTATTCCTACCCCTACCTGACTAACTACCTCTAAAAATAACAAGTAGAGTTTGACCATATGAGGACACAGAAAAATGTCTTCATTTCTTGGGTGAAAACGGAAACTTTGTCCTCACAATTCATATACCCACACACACACACACACACACACACACACACACTGATATCCACACATACATGCAGTATCAAATTAAAACATCCAAAGTGCATCACTTTATTAGCCCTGTATATCATATATCCTCAACAAAATATATCTTGTACATTTTCTAGAAACCAAAACAAGTTACAGAAATAAAGATTCCTCTTTGGGGTAAAGGGAATCGTAAGTCCAGGATGGTTTTCTTCTAAACGCTGCTGAGTCTATAGCGTCCGCTGCATCCCAAAGTGCTTCTGAGTGAGATGGACGAGAGTAGTCATTTTGAGTCACATAAATAAAGGTCTTAGCAAATCAAATATATACCTGTAAAGAAATGTGTTGACAGCATTACTAAAAATGTACACTTTGAAACATTTGCTCTTTTTCAGGAAATTTTGACAAAGATGCAAAATATTGTTTGTACTTAAACAGATATTATCTATGTTTTTGTTGCATTAAATTTACTACAGAAACAAACAACTGAAATTAAATGTGTCCATGGTGGTAATCTATTAATATGTTCCTGTTAAAGTATTATTAATCTAAAAAATACTTGGACTACACTCTTAGATAATGGTAACTACATGAAAACACATAATAGTAAAAGAAAGTACTGATATTTGAACCATAGTGGGATTACTTATCTTTTTATTGTCCTACAGCAAGTTGTAGTAGATAGGACACAATGCCTCTGAAAATTTTAAATAACAGAAAAAAATTGCTGATATATCTGTAAGAGGTTTAATACCCATTCTGGTTTTTGATGCCAGTTTTTAAAATTGAGCACATCGGGAAAATTATTTCTAAAACCTCTTTAGTTTTAGAGCAACACAAAGCTCTGCTGCTGATGGGTGGCAGAGAGTCGACTGTGCCAGCTAGACTAGAATAGATCCTCTATACATAAGGCTCGTAGTCCATAACACAGAACATTCTTTGGTCCTTTGTCATAAAGCAGAAAAGGAAAATAAAAGGTTCAGGGAAGGAACTTGTTTGGCTAAATGTTCACACCTCATAGGAACCAAAGTTTCAATTTCACATGAAACCTTTGTGAAAAAGACATTTCAAAGGCATCACCAAACAGGTCCAATTCCTTTCCTTCCTTCAAACCAGCAAGACTAAAACAAGAACCCTAAAATTTTCACTCTGATTACTCTTCAGCGCTAGTTCATCAGTGACAAAGACTAAGCTCCTTTCGTACCATGCACTTCTTACACTGGACGACGCAACACCAATGGAAGCGGCACAAGCAGTTCTCCTGAAACACCACAGTTTCTTCCCTGTAGCCTCTCTCGCAGCACAACAAATCACAGCCGCTGATGTCCATGGCTGTGCTGTTGCACATGCGGCCTCGTGTTCCAAGTGAACCTGTTTTTCGATTCGCAAGGCAAAAATCTGGAGACTCGTCGGAGTATATCAAATCCTGCTTGTCTGGCGGTTTTATGTTGTGCCCGACTGGTATCAGGGTCTTCCCGTCATTGCCACCCATCACCTTGGAAGCGCCGTTGAAGCGCTCAAGCAGACGGTCACCAACCTCACGGAAATGAGGCATCTTTTTCCAGCACGTACGCAAAGTGCACGAGCCCGACAGTCCATGGCACTTGCACTCAGTTCGCATGTAGAGCTTCACTGCCTAGTAGTGGAAAAAAGAAAAAGTGGAAGAAGGGGATGTTTGGTGTTGGTGGACGGGGAAAAGAGAGGTGAGAGGTCAATGAGGTGAGAGCATACTGAAAAGACAAAAAAATAATTAAAAATAAAAGCAACAAGAATCAAAGAGATGCAGGACTGTTTTTCACAAGTGACAAGGAAAAATTTAATATTCTTTTTCCATAGGACTCAGAGTCACACACAAACACACACACAAACTGATAGATAGGTAAGATAAAAGCAGACGCTATTCCGAAGGAATTTTTCCCCAGCCCCCTTTCCATCCATGTTGCCTCTGGCCTTCCTACATCTAACAAGCCTTGACAACAGATCATTCACTTATACTGCACATAATTAACCCATCACACACACACACACACACACACACACACACACACACACACACACACACACACACGCACGCATGCACGCATGCACACACACACATGCACACACACACACACACACACACACACATGCATGCACGCACACACACACACACACACGCATGCACACACACACACACACACACGCACACACACACATGCACACACACACACACACACACACACACGCACACACACACATGCACATACACACGCGCGCATGCAAACCTGTCTATTTAAACTGACACACAAACTGGCAGAATGGGTGCACACGCATGCATGCACACAAACAGAAATGTGAACACATCGCAGCAAGTTTATTTCTGAGCCTCTGGGAATTTGAGTGCCTTTTTTCCCTGGTTTGTCACTAATGCTACAATTGGACAACATCCCACAATCTGCCTCCTCCCTTCTGCGCCCCTCCACCTTTTTTTGACCCGAACCTAAATTAACTTAATAACTAAATGTGGTTGTTGTGCAACAAGTCTGAGAGTACACAGTAATACATTTAGATCAAGAACTTTTATAAAAATAAAAGTAAAAAAGCATTTTAAGCTTCGCCTTTCTTTTTCAGAATTTTGTCTGAAGCATCACTCATTAATTGTTGCCAACCTTGACTAAATCATGGCAACACATTTGAGGTTAACCCTCTCAGGCTCAAAATAAGTTCTGATAAAAGGACGAACAACTAAGTCCTTCAGGGGTACTTCTGAGTTAAAAAATGGTCATGAAATAAGTATGTGGAGTAGCCAGGAAGGTAGGTTTTAACGTTGAAAATCTGCCTCCAGAGGGTTAAAGCTTCTTTAAAGATATTGTAAATGTTCAAAACGACATGCCTGGGAGGCTTGAAAGCAAAACATGTGGCACGCTCTTGTTTTTTGTTTCAGAAACCCGAGTCTTGTAAGAATATCAGTTTGCGGTGCTGCACAAATACAGCTAGAGGCGACATTTTCTGCTTTGCATGTTCATGGAATGAAAAACGAGCTCCAAAGAGCAAGACGCACCTTTGCATTTAAGCTGCCTTCAACAGCACAAGTAAAAATCTTAAAGCATTAATTTAAACTCGTGAAGGTTTGTCTTACCAGTCTACCAGCCTCGTTATTGTGCAAGTTGATGAGCGTCCTTATGTCACTTCTGCCTCTTCTCCTCTTGGCATCCATAAACTGTTTGGACTTTTCATAACCAAACTCCACGTCGTCTCCACAGCCCCCCCACTCCCACTTAACACCATCCCCAGAAGAGGACGATGAAGGTGGCCTTGGGGGAGCTTTGTTTCTCATTGCTTCACAGCCACACTGCAGCAGGTCTCCCATGCTGCAGGCTTGGGTCACAGCGTGTGTCACACCAGCTGCTGTGATGGCATAGACGAACGCCGTTTCCCGAATATCTGCAGTGGGAAAAACAATGCAAACAGCGTTAGCCAATGCGTGCACTTCTAGTCATCCTCTAATGTCTAACATGGTTTGTTCATGCAATTAGACAATTGAGACAGCTGTTGCATCCAGTAGAACTTGGTTTGCATTATTTTAATGTAAGCACGCTACAAAATGTTTAAAATCTGAAAATACCCCAAAATATTTAACCCTTTGATGCAGAATGGTCACTACAGTGGACAGGTACTCAAAATTGTTATTTGTTTGTTTTTGCTATTAAGCACAGCTGTTGAAGACTTTATTGTATTTGAGCCCCTCCATTTGGACTTCAGTAAGTCAAGCCAACATATTTCATGTTCAGAATGCACGCTGTCCACTGAGGTGGACGTGTAATAAATTATTTGTAAATTATAAAATTTTACAAAAAATATTTGTTGAAATTTGTTTCATTCACACCTAAAGATGAATGACAAAAATTGTTAAAAAAATCATGGTTGAAGATTTCATAATTCATGCATCAAAGGGTTAATAGAAAATCATTAAAGATTAATATTTATCCCACCATAGCTCTGCTGACCATCCATATTAATTATATTTTTCTGAATACAGCTTTTGCTAAATATAAAACAAGGACTACCGCATGGGAGCAGGACCAATAAAGTACGGAATAAATTAAGGAAGGAGGTTTTGGTCAGTGTTTTAGGTGGGTTGCTAAACACCAGGACGCAGTAGTAGCCCTTTTAAATTTTACCTCTCAGAATACCAGGACTTTTTAGTGGGTGCATACCGGTTCTGTTCACTCTGAAAACTTGATTCTGCTCTCAGCCCCCAAGTCGGAGCTTTTTCAGTGGCGGGCCCAACACTTTGGAATGAGCTACTGTTACAAATCAGACCGCCCTCCTCTGTGATGGTCTTTAAGTCTAGGCTAATACCTTATTTTTATTCCCTGGTGTTTATTTCTGCAGGATGCAGATTGCAGGTTTGCTGTCTTTATGGTTTTACGTTGTCACAGTTTTTTGTATGTCTTTATTTGTTTGTTTACAGGATCTTACATACTATAGTTTTATGCATGACTGTCCAGCATTTTGGTGACATAACCTTCTCTGGAAAGTGCTGTATAAATAAAAGTTCAGTTGAGTTTTTCAAGCCATTTATTAGGCAAAATTTTTGAAAGAAGTTTGTTTGTCTTCACGTTGTGCCAATGGGCAAGAGTCTTTACCCACATTGCCTGCTGGTGGTCGGAGGGACCGGTGGCGCCTGTGCTTGGCAGCCTTGCCTTTGTCACTGCGCCCCAGGGCAGCTCTGGCTACAATAATGAGGAAGACTTTTGTTGGTTTAGCGTCAACTTCTTGGCTAGTAGAAGCTAGCCATCAGCATTAGCAACACCACCTCATAGCAGAACTCCTTCAGGCTTCTGTTATTTGCTGAGTTAAACATTAACGTTGCAAGTCGGTGGTAGAGTGGCGTTGCTGTTATCCAATTCAGGGCAAGATTTCCAAATATCAGGAAATAAGACTCTAAAAACTATTGTCTGAAGCTCAGTTGTGATAGGGCTCACTTCTAGAGATAAGAGTGAACCAGTGTTTTTGCCCCCCAAGGCATTTATTCCTGCTAGAGACTACTGCAGATGTATTGATTAAACAAGTGTTCCACACCTTTAAACAACAGCCGTCTGCAGTCCCATCCATTCAGTTAACACAGGTCGAAGGGGATCATCCTCTGCTCAGACAATCTCTAACCCCCAGGCACCCCCCATGCAAGCACTGATTTGGGTGCAAGATTTGCAGCCATTTTTATGCATTTCTCATCATATGTTTGATCTACTATGTACGCAAACCACCCTGTTACTAAAATATTTTCATTATTATGTGTTGAAACTGGGGTCGGGTAAGGTGCACACGGTGTGACGGATAGTAGCCGGTCTGACCCTTGGCTACAGAAGCTGGCATTTGGACTGCGGAATGCCACCTCTCTGGTGGGTATGGAGTCTGAGTTGGTGTGCGAGGTTGAGAGGTTCCCACTATATATAGTTGGACTTACCTCTACGCATGGCTCTGGCTCCAGAACCAGTTTCCTTGAGAGGTGCTGGACACCACCACTCTGGAGTTGCACCCACTGAGAGACACCGAGCAGGGGTGGGCATACTAGTTGCCCCCATCTTGGTGCCTGTACATTTGGGTTTACCCCAGGGAACAAGAGGGTAGCCTCCCTCCACCTACATGTGGAGGTACGTGTCCTGACTGTGGTTTGTGCTTATGCACCAAACTGCAGTTCAGACTACACACCTTTTTTGGAGAGCTTGAAGGGTGTGCTGGAAAGCACTCCTTCCAGTGACTTCCTCGTTCTGCTGGGGGACTTTAACGCTCCCGTGGGCAATGAAAGTGAGACCTGGAGCGGTGTGGTTGGGAGGAACGGCCCCTTAGGGATGTTGTCAAGGTGAGGAAAGTGTCCTATCATGTCTTTTTGGCCTGTGGGACTCCAGAGGCAGTTGAGAGTTACCATCAGTCCGAGAGGAATGCGGCTCGAGTGGTCGTGGAGGCAAGAATCTGGGCATGGGAGAAGTTTGGTAATACCATGGAGCAAGACTTCCGAACAGCTTCGAGGAGATTCTGGGCCACCATCCGACAAATCAGGAGGGGAAAGTAGTGTGCTACCAGCTCCTCCAAATCTGAGACCTTGGTCTTGAGTCAGAAAAGGGTAGAATGTCTTCTCTGGATCAGGGTTGAGGTCCTGCCTCAAGTGGAGGAGTTTAGGTATCTCGGCGTCTTGTTCATGAGTGAGGGAAAGCTGGAGCACGAGATCAATAGGCGGACTGGTGCTGCTTCTGCAGTGATGCCGGCGTTATGGCGGTCTGCCGTGGTGAAAAGAGAGGTGAGCTGGAAGGCCAAGCTCTTAATTTACCGGTTGATCTACATTCCCACCCTCACCTATGGTCACCATCTCTAGGTAGTGACCGACAGAACGAAATTGCGGATACAAACGCCACAATGAGTTTTCTCTGCAGGGTGGCTGGGCTCTCCCTTACAGATAGAGTGAGAAGCTTGGTCTTCCGGGAGGGGCTCAGAGTAGATCTGCTGCTTCTCCACATCGAGAGAAGCCAGCTGAGGTGGCTCGGGCATCTGATTAAGATGCTGGACGCCTCCCTGGTGAGGGCTTCCAGGCACGTCCGACTGGGAGGAGACCTAAAAGAAGACTCAGGACACGTTGGAGAGACTATGTCTCTCGGCTAGCCAGGAAATGCTTTGGAATCCCCCGGAATAGCTGGCCCAAGTGGCTGGGGAGAGGGATGTCTGGGTCTCTAGACTCAGGCTGTTGCCCTCGTGACCCGACTCCAGATAAACGGAAGAAAATTGTTAGATGGATGGATGTGTTGAAAGAATTTTTGGGCAAAAAATAGAAAGCAAAGACAAAAAGTGAATCAATCCTAACTTGCTGGATTACAACATCAAGAATAATTAGTGACATTTCCATCCTCTTTTCCCAACAAAATTGCCCAAATATTTTAAAATTTATATTGCCTATCATCACATGTTTTACATGTTGATTGACTCAAAGAAGTGACAAAAATGGGTTTAATAGGTATCCATTCAGACGTCTCTCTGTCTTAATCTGCTCTGGTCCATATTTGAGGAGCATGGAACAAGATGAAAGTCTCTCTTAAGTCCTGCTACATCATTGATCCAAAGCATCACTGGATTTGTGGTGCTGAGCGGATGGCTGTTTCAGTTTAATTCACACAGATTCAAACATACACCACAGCTGGTGGTTTATTTTGGGTGGGGAGCTTAACACTCCCTGCTGAAGGAATGTGCAACTACAACTGCAAATTGATTGTGTGTCTGCCCCTGCAGGGTTGGTATCATTCTCATCCTCAGCACAACACGTCATTATCCTCAGTCGTTGTGGCTATTGTTACTCACTTGACAACAAAATACCATGATAGGATTGCAGCGTTCCACAAAGCTAAAGATAATTCTCTATTTTTTTAGCTTTTCTTTGCTTGAAATTTGTTTTCTTTGCTTTTCTTTTATTTCACCAGTAGCCTATTGTGCAATTTAATGTTTCGGGTTATTTTGAATGTAAAGAAAGAAGAAGAAAAAACAGGTAAAAGTTTGATTGCACATAGATTTCAGTGTGCACTTATTTTTGCTTTCCACGTATAATATAACATGAACTTATATCAAAAGTAAGGGGAAATAATATTTAAGGACAAGAAAACTACAGCAACTAAAATCCAACACATTTTCGACCAGTTCAGTAAAACGGTGACAGCTGCTCTTCTTCAGTGCAGATCATAAACACAAACAACAGGGAAGCTTTTTAAGCTTATTGTGATTTTAATTTTTTAGGGAAATTAAAAAAATAAATAAATAGGGAAGTATTTTTCAAGTGGCGCAGTGGTTAGAGCTGTTGCCTTGTAGCAAGAAGGCCCTGGGCTCGCCTCCCGGCCAGGGATCTTTCTGCATGGAGTTTACATGTTCTCCCTGTGCATGCGTGGGTTCTCTCCGGGTACTCCAGCTGCCTCCCTCAGTCCAAAAACATGACTGTTAGGTTAATGGGTCTGTCTAAATTGTCCTTAGGTGTGTGTGTGTGTGTGTGTGTGTGTGTGTGTGTGTGTGTGTGTGTGTGTGTGTGTGTGCATGATTGTTTGTCCTGTGTGTCTCTGTGTTGCCCTGCGATGGACTGGCTCTCTGTCCAGGGTGTACCCCGCCTGATTGCCCGTTGACCGCTGGAGATAGACACAGCCCCCCCCCAAGCTGATTTGGATCAATCCAGTAGACTGTAATGGATTGTATTTGAAGCAGCGACATTCCGCTGCCATTCTGCGCTGCTGAAGCCTCCAGTGTGGATTTGGGGTAAAGGTTAAAGGTACTAAAAAGAGAAAGTGGACAATAGGGCTGCAACAAAGGATTATTTGGATAATCGATGAATCGGATGGGGTCTCGACACGATTAATCAATTAATCGGATTACATGGGGAAATTTTTAAAAACTGCTAGGGAAATGTTTTTTTC